ATATATATATATATATATATATATATATATATATATATATATATATATGTGTGTGTGTGTGTGTGTGTGTGTGTGTGTGTGTGTGTGTGTTCTAATATATGACTCTTGAGGTTTTTGAAAGGAACAGTGAGCGCATCAAAGAACTCTGTCACCAATACGTCCAGGTAAGATTATGCAATACAGTCATTACTGTACTATACACAGTGTGTTTTGCAGTAAACTACTCTTTAAACCTGGAGTTCATTAGTATATACAGTAGATATACAGTACAGCATTTGCATACACTGTGTCTAATTACTTTCAGAGAGTCATGAAGTTGGAGGCCAATCAAGTACCACATGAAATTTTCTATGTTGACAAGGCAGGGGATGTCACCATAGGAAAAACATAATAGGTCATAGGGCCACAGTTACCGTGCCGGGCCACAGAAGATATCAAGTGTAATGTGGATGAGAACATGTGGCAAAAGACCGGGCAGAATAGAAGATTACTTTGTTATGTTATTATAATTGTGGTGCTTTTTCTGTTTGCAGTGATGTCCTTCTGCAAAAAAGGTCTGTACTGCAGAAATTCTGTGTCTGTATTTTTTTTTACATAAACTGTAAATTTTATAAAGCAATTTTTTTTTCTTCATTTTGTATAGAATTTTTGCCGTAAACGAAAGAAAGTGCATGCATTTACTTAACCCAACGGAACAAAACTGTAACGAGACTTCAAATACAAGGGCAGAGCTGACACATAAACTAATGCAGTTTTTGTAATTTTAACTGATGCTGGTGTTTTTATTGTCAGTGTGTTCTGATTGACTGAATGTTTCTGTTGAAAGAGAACATGTGTTTGTGTTTTGAACAATAATTTCATTTTGAAACATAATTGCAGGGTTTTGTTAGACATGGTGTAGTGTGTTCGTTTATTATTGTATTTTGAAAAGTAGTTTAGAGGTTTAGTTTACAATGTGTGATTTTGAGCATAAAATTAACTGTTTTGTCAATTGTGTATTTTAGGTGTGTTGCTGCGTTAAGAGTTTAGCAAACTTGTTAAATATATTGAAAAAAGTGTCATAGCCATTGTAAAAAACTGTAATGTGAATTTATCCTGCTAAAAAAACACAAAACCAAACTATTAATACGCTATATGGCAGTACAAACGGTACAGCAA